AATTATTGAAGTTAAATGCATCAACCTGGTGCATTTTGAGAGCAAAATGAATTTAAGGGTACATCTCTCAGCACCCATATGAAACAAAACTCTAAACAGATTTTCTTTTCTTTATGGATATTTTACAAATCCCTTTTAAACTGTATTCTTGTTTTACTGTCATAGTATTTCATAACTGTTTTTCATTTATTCTCATAAATGGTGACCAAAACGTTTAAGACCCACTGAGATAACTACACTAATGTTAACTATCTAAACAGAGTCCCTTACCCCACTGAGCTGTAGTTATCTCTCAGTCTGACAGGAGAGAGCTCTCCCTCTCCTTGTTTTAGAAACAGCTAAATCCGTTAGCGCAGCTAGCTAACCAGATGCTAACAACAACAATGCAAATAGTGAGTTTGGTAGAAATATACTGTATAATAGTAAAGTTATTTAAGATGATGCCATATTTATTGAAGATTTTACATTATAAATATTCCCCAAAATTATTCAAAAGCATATTCTTCAATAAATATGGCATCATCTTAAATAACTTTACTATTATACAGTATATTTNCGTCTAACTACCCCCCTCCTCCTCGTTGACAATTCAGATTTCCCGGGAAATGTAAGTGTCGGGGTGGGCCCGCCCGGGTAAATCAAATGCCCGCCCACAGATGCATGTCTGCCGCCGGGTCTGTGGTATGTATCTATAATCCAGTCTGTATTCAAAAAGTTTCTGAGCAGATTCTAAAACTGTGACAAACATATTTTTGTCCAAATCCTGAATGTATGACTCAGCAACACCAAAGAGCTGTTTTCCCGAAACAGCATGTAAAGGAAGAAAAGGCGGATTTTAAGCATAAAAAAAAAAAGTGTGCCCGTGCGTGGACAGTTTGACTGAATGTTTTTCTCTCCGACATCATCCCTGCTATTTTTTCTGCTGTTGTAGAAAACACATTTAGACATCAGTGAGGTACTGTAGCAGCAGAACATCTGCATCCTAGATCTCTGCTTCACTGTCACTTTTTTAATCAGATAACTTTATACTCTGAAACTTGAGCAGATCTAGGGCAGCACAGCTGGGGGAATAGAAGGTGTCCGCCTCTTTCATTAAATAAACATAAGTGCTGAATTGCATTATTGATTATCCAATAAATGCTGCGTAATTTGCTGAAAAGTTTCACAGCATGAAATGTTAACTCACCTAAAATTGCCACCACCTCATCATCCTGTATGACCTCCAGTGACCCCGACACCACGAAGCAGAGGCTGTCCACGCTCTCCCCGGCGTGGTAGATCAGGTCCCCAGGGGCGCAGTGGATGGTCTGAAACTCCATGGCCAGCGCTCTGAGACACCCGTCGCTGGCCAGGCGGAAAGCCGGGTGCTCTTTAAATACCTTCCGGTTGAGATGAACACAGATATCTGCCCTCATGTCTTTCGGACAAATCTGCAACACCTGAAGAGTAGAGAGAGAGAGCTGTGTGATGATTTGTCTCATCAGATAATAATGAGTTCTATTTAAGAGCTCGAAGAAAATCGTACATTGTTTATTGTATTTACTTGCACTATTTGATCTGTTTTATTGTGTTGCACTGTTGGAGGAGCCTAGGACCTAAGATTATCATCGACATAACTACACTGTAGCTATGTACGAATGACAATGAAACCCTTGAATCCTTGTTACTGTCCCATTAGGCGATCAAAGAGTTATAATCTGTTGCCATGACTTAATTTAGAGAAGGCAAACTTCACGTGGGGCATCACATCGCTATTTTATTTCTCAGTCAAAAACAAAATGAAATCTCAAACAAATCTCACATGTACAATATGTGGGTTTTCTGCCTGTTACTTCACTGATATTGGGAGGACATTTTTACACATTTCTTTATACTAAACACTTGCAAGAGGCTGCAACTGTGAGGGAGGATCAGGATCAGAATACCTTTATTAGTCCCACAGAGGGGAAATTGACATTGTTACAGCAGAAAAGAGCCAAAGACAGCTTAATGTTACCTAAGCATGCATAAAAAAAGAAATGATGATAAGGATGCGTTCAATGCGATCCTAAAGATATTCAACCCCAAGTTGCTCGCCGATGGCACGAGGTGTGTAGAGGGTAAAGAGCTGAAAGGGTGCGTATGATAAATGCGAAGTCCTGTTGCACAGTTTTACAGTAATGCGTTTGCGCTTTGCTTGGTGGATATTTTTGAGTTGATCATATGTTTCGCTGCGCCAGTGTGCACTTTTTTTTTAGCGGGCGTTCACTTAAAATGAAATGGATAACGTGTAAGTTACTGTATCTATAAAATATATAAATTAGCACGAACCTTTCTCTGGAAGTTGGTATAACAGACAGAAGTCTTCACGCTGTGTGCAGAGTTAGCCCGTCGCTGCTAGTCGATATAGGGCATGTTCGGCCAGTAAAAAGATGTGGCGTTAGCATTCGTTTGTTGGCTTTATTCTGTTTTGACAGTCATAAAAGAGGTGGCGAAAGTATGATGTTACGTACTGCTAAGTGCTAGTTCATATGTATGAGTCTCAGTATGTAGCTGTTTACAAGAGCTGTGGTTGAATCGTGTAAGAACATGTCATAGTCTGGTAATGTGCTCTCTGATGTACTCTAGGTTTTCCATGAATGAGTACTACCAAGTCTATTGTTTGTAAGCCGTTAAACAGGAAAAGAACGAAGACCTTTCAGGGTTGCCAGGTTGTAAAAAGGACCCTGCCTTGTTAGCAGTGGCACTAGAATGTTTTTTCGGTGACGAGTATGGATAGTGGATTGAGCGCAATTCCGAAGCAGAGGCAGCCAGGCTAAGCCAATCAGAGCAGACTGGAGTAAGCATATACTGCGTGTTACAGCCCATGAGGAGGCGTAGTTATTAGCGCAATGTCTCTGAGTTGTTAGTGTGTTTCCGAGAGTTCCCCACAAACTACTTTCAAGCATACTTACGCACAACCCTGTGAAGTGCTCACGCACGTAAGAGGAACCTGTATCTCCTGTCCGTTGCATAATATTTCAAGCATACTACGTCACCGAGTGCCGCCGAAGGACTGTTCCAATGTCCGGCATACTTGGAATTCTACGGAGGCCGGCGTACTTCGTATCGATCGGTCTTAAAATCCCCACAATGCTTTGCGCACGGACCAATTTCCAAATCTTTGGCGGAAATCACGCTCCATTTAAGGCGGGGCCTCGCATATGACGCACACCTGCACACCTGTTAGCCTGTTCCACAATTCTTCGTTTTCCGAGGCTAGGAAGGATTCTTGCTTCTGAAGCAAGTGACTCGGAAGACATGTGCTACCAAGGAAGCGTCCTCGACATTGAGAAACACCCAGGGTGAAAAAAGTGATGCAGCACAGGCAGCATGAGAAAATTAAAGAGCTTTTTGAACATTAAAGCAGAGTCATGTCACAGTAGAGACACTACATACTAATATGAAACTGAAAATGATCATAATAGGGCCCGTTGAAGTTCATTTAACAAATGCACTCTGAAGTCTCCAATGTCTGCAGTATCTGCACGCAAGTTTTTCAGAAGTTAGTATTGCTGTTTTTAAATAATTAATTAACTGTCACTGAAGAACTTAGGTGTTTTTTCATACTACAAATAGCTGATTTGGAGCTTCTTTATTTTTCAGTTGCTTTAGGAAATACTTCATTAGAAGTCCACTTACCCATTGGTTTGGTCTCAATATGTCCAGTATGAATAATTTGTATCATTTCATATAAAGGTCAAACGCCCACCTCCTCTGTGCTGTGTGTCACAGAGTGGCAGAATGTTGTTTAAGCACACCTACTAATCACCAGGATGGCAGGCTGCGGCAGAGCTGAAACTAATCTCTTTGAAGATGAATGTCAAGCAGAGAGGGATTATTCGCCATTTTTAGACCCTTTAGTGTAGCCGGAAGACAAATAAATAAAACATAGATGCAGTGCAAGATATAAAGGGGACACAATAATTATCACAGTTTGATTTTGACTACAGATTTCCCCGTGACAAAATCTAGACCTTGTTACAAGTGATGGTTCAAATTTGAGGTGAAATAATACAACTTTTTCTATGATTGGATTTTGGACAGGTGGATTTGAATGCGACGCAGCGTTATGAATGCTTTCTGGCTTCGAATCAATCAGAGCGGCGCCGGTTCAATTTATCTGCTGCCAGATTTAAATGTTTAATTTCCACACACTCAAATAATTTTGGCATCATCTGAATTCAGTAGGATGGATGGTTACTGTGCCATAAATGCCATACCACTTCACCGTCTGCTTTTCATGATAGGCTGCTAAAGTTTGCCTAAGAATAACCAGACCTGTTCTAGGAAAAAACAAATAAGCAATGAAAAATGACTTTAATTTCTGGTGACGTTCAGGGAGCACCAACATCAGCAGAGGTTTTTAGGTTTACTAGCATAGAACAACGGAAAAATGTAGGCTATCATGCTTTTCTCATGATGTTAGTCCAACACAAGAAAAAACACAAAAGTAGATTAATACTACTCAAATGTCACATTAAACATTTAGCAGGGCTGCCAACACTCACGCATTGAGCGTGAGAGTCACGCAATTAACCCATATCTCACGCCACACTTGCCTTTCCTCACGCTAAGTTTTCGTCCAAAATAAATGTATATAAATAAAAATAAAGTGAAGGAACAGGAAACCGAGCGGTCTACGAAATGAGACGGTCTTCTGGCTTCAGTAAAGTTGGAACGATATTGGGAGATTCTGATTTCACGGATCAATAACTCATGAACAAAACGTTATTCAGACACAAATGACGTCTCCTAAGTAGGCTACCATGGTAAGGTTGACAACGAACTACAATCACATTTTGATCAAAAAAAGCCAATACGCGCCGTCCTCCGAGCTGGACACATTACATTGGTCTCTATCCGCAGCCGGAGAAGAAACGAGTGCTCAGGGACCGTCTGCAAAGTGCAACTCCGAAAAAAGAGAATACAATAATATTCACTATTATACAGCTTATTACTACCAAACTCACTACACACATCAATAGTCTCCTGTGGGGCAACTCAAGGGCTCAGGTAATGTGATTACTATATGAATAATGGTCCAAAATAACATAAAATGCATAGGGTTTTTTGTTAAGTAACATACTTTCGTCGCCGGGCCAGCCGATACATGCCGCGCATTAAGTGGGCCTGTCTGTTAATTAATCCCCAATTTCAGAGGCGTTTTTGTAGAAATACTACGTCCTACGTTGTGGACCAACGTAGTTATTACACGTTTTTTTGTGAGACTGGGTTGGCAAAACCAAGGACATGATCATTGATTTTAGAAGACATCCCCACATACATGAAGTCTTAATCGCAAATCAG